TCTTTATTGATAACACGTGGCAGGTTTTCCCATGCATTTGACTTTTCCACAGTTGTAGGAGGTGGGCACTGTGATGATGTCTGGTTTACAGCTCAGGAAAGCAAGGAACTGACATTCCTCAGCCAAGCTGAGGTTCATTGTTTGCTGGTCCACTAGATCAGCTGGCTCTGCCTCAGGAAGATGCCCAAACAATGAACTCGCCCCCTCCTGGCAGCCATGGGAACTGCAGGAGCTGGCACAAGAATTTCAGCACTTTTAGCCCTTGGTTTCCTTAGCTGTGTATCGGAAAGTGTGACAGTCACTATGCATAACGGCTGTAAGAACTGACGAGATCCCACATAAAAAGGACAAAGCTAGCCTGATGGGTGGCTCACAATCGGAATTCTGGCACTAAGTCGTCTGAGGCAGGAGGATCACAAGTTCAAGGCCAGCCTGGTCTACGTAAGAACCTGTTCCAAGAAAAAAAACAAAACTATGGGCTGGACTGGGGGGGGGGTGACTCAGTAGTAGGATACCTGACTGGAATCCCACAGTGAGGGGTTAGGGGGGCATGGCTCAGTGGTAGATCACCTGTATAGTCCTCAAAAGGCCCTGGGTTCATTCCTCATCAATAAAACAAACATTATTATTATTATTATTATTATTTTATTATTAGTACTATTATTATTTCAGTGTTGGAACCCTGAGCTAAGTAACCCTTTACCATAGAGTCACACCCCTCCATCCAGGAGCTAATACTGTTTTGTGGTGCTTTGCAGTGATTGTTGTTCTTTCCTGGATTGTAAATGAAGGGGATTGGACTGCTTGGAGATGGTACCTAGAGATGCCCAGGGGGGATGGGTGACTTCTCTTGAGGACACTTGAGTCTTTATGCCCTGAGGATACAGACTCTGGCTGACCTAAAAACCTGAGCGGCCTCCTTCCCTCCCTCCTTTCTCCTTTTCTCTTTTCCTCTCTCTCCCCTCCTGCTGACCTCATTCTGCATTCCTCCCTCCCAGAGAGCTCCACCCAACCCCAGCTGGCATCCCTGGCTCCCCAGTCTTTCTGAACTTGCTGGCACTTGGCTGTGGTTCTTACCCTCTGGCTATGGGTGAAAGAGGCTGTTTTGTCCAGCTGCAGAGGCAGGAGTTTCAAGGCCTGGCATGGCAGAAGTTGCCAGCTGCCTACCTGGGACCCATTCTGTCTGCCTTCCTTATCTCAGACCCATGATATTATTTGGTGGTAGGGAGGCAGTGACAGACCTAAGGGAAAGATTACATTTCCCAGGATCCCTTGCAACTAGAATAGCCATGTCACCAAGAATGGACCAATTGGGTGTAAGCAAGAGTTGTTAAAAATTAAAAAAAAAAATTGTTTGTGACTATGTGTGTGCATGTGCAGGCATTGCGTGGTGTGTGGAGGTCAGAGGTCAGCTTTCAGGAGTTGGTTCTCTCCTTCTTCTGTGGGATCCGGGAATTGAACTCATGTCATTAGGTTTGCACTGCAAGTATTTTTATCCAGCAAGCCTAATAGAAACTTTTTTATTAGGGTGTGTGTATGTGTGTGTGTGTGTGTGTGTGTGTGTGTGAGAGAGAGAGAGAGAGAGAGAGAGAGAGAGAGAGAGAGAGATGTGTGTGTGAATGCAGGCATATGCATGTCCCTGGTGACACTGTGGAGTTCCCACCGTCCTCACAGTAATATCCTTCCAAGCATTGTTTTAAATGTGTGGGAGAAATAATTCTATATCCATATTCATATACGCTATGTGTATATACCAGCTCTCCTCTCACCCCTTTGTGTGTGTGTGTGTGTGTGTGTGTGTGTGTATGTGTGTATACGCATGCCCACACAGGGAGACCTGAGGAGGATGTTGAGGTGCCCTGCTGTTCACAGTGCTAGGTTGGCCACCAGCAAGTGCCAGTCATCCTCCTGTTTCCACCTCTTACCCATAGCCATGGAGTTAAATACGTGTGCGACCATGCCTGGCTCTTTATGTGAGTTCTGGGGATTTGAACTTGGCCTCATGCTTGCACAGTAAGCCCTCTTACCCAAAGAACCCTATTTGTGTCCTCTTTCCTTTTTTTTTTTTTTTTTTTTTTGTTTATTTGGACAGGGTCTTAGGTAGCTCAGGCTGGTCTCAAACTCAACGTGACAGAGGCTGGTATTGAACTCCTGATCCTCTGCCTCTACCTCCCAAGTGCTAGAATTACTGATGTGGAATACCATGCCTCAGGTTCATAGGGACACAAAGGTAAGCTGATACTCAGCTGAATAAGGGAATCTATGTAAAATGTGGGATTTTCCAGGCTTGTCTTTTTTCTTTTTCTTTTCTGAGGTCTGAGGTGTTTTGTTTTGTTTCTTGAGACAGGGTCTCCCTTTAGCCCCAGGTTGGCCTCAGTCTCACAGAGATTTGCCTGCCTCTACCTCTCAAGTGTGGGAATTAAAGGTGTGTGTCACCACTCCTGGCTTATTAAATTATTTTGAGACAGGGTCTACCTGGCTGGACTGGAACTCACTATGTAGATCAGGTTGTCCTCAAACTCATAAACATCTGCCTACTGTTAGGTAAACTGGACCCCAAGATGGCATCACTACTGACCAGCAACATGGTGATCACGAACCGGTGGGCAGCATTCCGGGAAACAGAAACTAACCATCCTAGTTTCTCAGTAACCACCTGACCTTTGCTTTGACAATGCACCCTGATCATAACATCAATTTTCCATCGCAGCCAACCAAAAAACTGAAAAACACCTAACTGACCCCCACCAAGGCACCTGCTACTGACTCGCCTTTCTGTACAGTCTCACCTCCCGTACCCACAAAAGAGAAATCCTGTAAAACCCAGGCTGCTGTGGTGAGAAGCCTTTGCTCCCTTTCTCCTGTGGGAGCAGTCCAGCAGCTTGTCCATCCCAATAAACTTCTTTCCTCACCTCAGAGAGGTCTCTAGTGCTCCTGGTCTTTTCACAAACCTAACACCTACCTCTGCCTCCTGAGTAGTGAGAGTGAAGGCATGGTGGTCCACACCTGGCTTGTTATGTGAAGAGCCTGACTTTTGCCTTGAACTCCTGATCCTCCTGCCTCCACCTCTGCAGTGCTGGGCTGATAAGCCTAAACTGCTATGCTTGGTTGCATTTTTAATTTAATGGCTGAGGTCCAGAAAGTTCTGGAACTCTTTGTGAGAGAGGCTTTAGTTCTGCCTTAGGGCTAGGGTGAAGGCAGAAGGTGTTCAGTGGAGGGTCTGCCCTGTTCCACACTTAGTGGCTGTTGTTTGCTCCCCACCTCAAGTTCCCACGTGACTTGGGGACCAGTGCAAAGGCTCCAGGATCTGCCCTGGAACAGAGGGAGAGTGGGTCACTCTGTGTGTGCATGCACCCAGCTTGGGACATCTAGAAGGGAACCGAAGCAAGGGGCCCTAGCTACACAGGGCGGGGCTGAAGGTTGTGGAAGGAGAGGCGGACACCTAGGTGCATTAATCAGGACGTTTATGGACTGGGCAGCTCTCCAGCAGCATGAGGCAGGCGAATGAGACCGTAGCCTGTATCCTTCCTGCAGGTGAGTGGTCCTCCGCTTTGGGGAGGATGAGGGGAGATGCTCCTGGGACTTCGCTCTCCACATGTCAGTGGCCTGCGCTGCCTCTGCTACTCCAGGGCTGTGCGAGAGGACCGGGCAAGGGATGGAGGAAGTGGTCAGTCAGCAGGAGGACCGTCCCAGGGCCCCGCCCCTCCTGCGGCCCTGCCCATCCCGCCTCCCGAGGCCCCGCCCTCCCCGCTCAGCCTGTGCCTAGGTCAGGAGCAGGAAGGTAGACTTGGTCCTCGGACTGGACTGTGAGAAGAGAGACGGGCTGAAAAGGAGTGCTCAGGCTTCTCAGCCAGGCTGTGCTGGCTCAGCACCCAGGGCCTGAGCACTGACCCAGACAGCCAGGGTGAATGGACGAAGAAAGCCCTCTAGGGTGCCTGCCAGGGGCTGGGTGTCTGATCCCGGAGCTTTCAACCGGGCAGGGAAGGTCCCTGACTCAGGAACTTGATTTCTAGTGTCTAGTCTGATGGAGGGGGCACAACTCCGACAATGACCTTGTTCTTAGTCTGGGAGTACCTGTCTAATGCACTTGCCCTAGTGATAAGCAATTGAAGATCTCTGGGGGCCCGGGAGTCTGATGGAGGAGACATGGTTCTTGACCTTGGGGACCCCCAGTCTGATGGAGGAGACACGGTCCCTGACTCTGAGGGCCCCCAGTCTGATGGAGGAGACATGGTCCCTGACTCTGGGGGTCCCCAGTCTGATGGAGGAGACACAGTTCCTGACTCTGGGGCCCCCAGTCTGATGGATGATCCCTGACTCTGAGGGCCCCCAGTCTGATGGAGGAGACACAGTCCCTGACCCTGGGGGCCCCCAGTCTGATGGAGGAGACATCATCTCTGAGTCTGAGGGTCCCCAGTCTGATGGAGGAGACATGGTCCCTGACTCTGAAGGCCCCCAGTCTGATGGAGGAGACATGGTACCTGACTCTAGGAGTCCCCAGTCTGATGGAAGAGACACAGTCCCTGACCCTGGGGACCTCAGTCTAATGGAGGAGACATGGTCCCTGACTCGAAGAACTCTTGGTCTGATGGGGGACACATCTAGCAGCTTATATCCTAATGGAGATCAGGCATTTTGAGTTGCACGCTCTCTAGAAACTTCTCACTCTCATTGTGTTTCATGGGGGAGATAAAAACCCATCATGACTCCAATTCCCCAGTAGGGTGGGAGAGGCTGTTCCCTCTGCTTTAAGGTCCACTCACCTGTAGGAGAAAAGAGGCCCACCCTCACGCTGTGGCCCTTGTTATAGCCTTTGATCTGACCCCCCACAGTAGCCCTCAATCTGCTGGAAGCCCCTCAACTCTTGGCAAGAGGTCACCGTTTGAGAGGCAAGGCAATCCCCCATGGGGACACTCAGGTCAGATGGAGGGGCACATGGCTGTGATCCCAGGCTTGTGAAGGAGGACAAGGCCTTCTCTGGGGGGGTCCCCCAATGCTGCTCACTCACAGGTCACCTGCAGCTCCACTTCCAGCATGTCTGTCTTGCCCTGCAGTGTGATGGTCTTGAGTGTGTAGCGCCCGGCGTCTGTGAGGTTGAGCTTCTGCACCAGCAGTGAGCAGTTGGCAAAGCCCACCTCCCGGCCTGTGTTTGCAGGGCCTGCGATCCAGTTTCCTGATGGCAGCTGACTGATCAACCGATTGGGCTCTGAGACTGGCCCTCGGTACCAGGCATAGACCAGCAGGTCCTTGGGGTAGCCTTGGACGGTCAGGGTCACATCCTGGCCCTCCGTTGGCTTGGTTGGTACAGGTACAATCATCGTAGTGACAGCTGCCGCTGGAGAGAGAGCCACAGGATTGGTCAGCTGGGGCCACCCTGGGTGTGGGGGTCCTCCCCCATCCCTGGCCAGTGCTCCCCACTTCTTCAGTGCTCTCCCACTGGATGGTGCTCTCTATGTGGTGCTGGGGAGGACACAGAGGATGAAGGTGATTTGTGGGGTGGTTATATGCACTCTCTCAAAGATGCCTGCCAGGGACACATTTCTCCTATTAGTCTAGAAATTTCCAGCTTTTGTCGTTGGGGAGGGGTTTATCTCCTGCGAAGTTAGAAGAGCCTGGGGGGGGGGGAGTCTGGTCATGTCTCCTCCATCAGATTGGGAATTTCCAAACTCTACAGGTTATGCCTCCCCTATCAGATTGGAAATCCCAGAATATGAAGGCCGTGTCTCCTCCATCAGAAGGCTGAGTTTTGTCTCCCCGTATTGTGCCTTTTTCTGTGAGATCAAGAGACCCCCAGAAAATGGGTGGACAACTCTCTCATCAGATTGGAAGATTCTAGAGGGAGAAAGCTGTGTCTCCAGTATTGCATTAAAAATTCCCACAAAGTGTGGGGGTTGTCTCCTCCATCAGATTGGGAAATTGTAGTTTTCCATTCAAGTTGGGGACCTCTGAATTTGGGAAATCCGTCTTTATTCTACCAGTTTAAAACACCCTCCAGTGTGGGAATCTCCTCCATCAGACTGGGAAGTTGTAAACTGTTGGGGGTAGAGTTTTCCAATCAAGTTGGAGACCCCCAAAAGTTGAGGATAGTATCTATATTCCATCAGAAATGGTCCATAGAAAATGGGGACTTGTACTCCCCCATCAGACTAGAAATTAAAAAAAATATAGTGTCATGTCTCCTCAAGTTCACACCTCCCCATCAGACTAGAAATTCTTCAGGGTTGTGCCTCCTCCCCGCTTCCTTGAGCCTTCTAGGGGGAGAGAGAGAGAGAGAGAGAGAGAGAGAGAGAGAGAGAGAGAAACATTTGTTCATCTGACCAACTTGTTTCCCTAAACAGGAAATATACGGCCTTTCCTCGCTCTCCCCCCAGCATCTGCCACGGGATCATTGGTAGTTTCTTTTTGGGGGGGGTGTTTTGGAGGATGTTGCGTTAGGTATGCCCTGCACATACCTGCAGACCTTGGAGACCACCTCCCCTACCCCATGTTGGCCCTGAGGTCATCTGGTTCACTGTGTCTTCAGTCAAGGCCCTGATTGGGTGGGTGGGGGAGTTGCACTTACCTCTGGGGCCGCCATTTTTGCTCTGCGTGAGAGTTTCCATCCCCCCCATTTGCATGAGACCCAGCCTGTTAGTGGAAGGAAGAAGGGAGGAAGGGGAGGACGCCCCCTCTATCCCCAAGGGACAATGGTCACTTAAGAAGAAATCCAGACAGAATTTGAGACAAAGTCTCATGGTGTCCAGGCTGGCTTCAAACTCACTGTGTAGCTAAGCATGGCCCTGAACTCCAGATCCTCAGGCTTTTACCTCTCACACCCTTGGGTCACAGGTGTGCACTGCCAGATCTGGTCTAAAATGAAGCCTTGACACTCAGAGCCACCATGAACCATGTCCTCTGAGGTCCCCAATGGCTTTAAAGCCCCAGCCATCTGCACTGCCCCTCAGCCCCACAGATCATTTTAGGACACGGTTGCCTGTAATTTTCTAGCTCTGTCTGTGTGTGTATACATGTGCTCATGCAAATATGTGCCCCATCTGGGCCAGATGACCATGTAACACAGTTGACAGAGGCTTGGTGTCTATGTGGCACGGGTTGGGCAGAGCCCTCAGCAGCCAATGTCTGCTACAGGAAAAGGGAACACCTAAATAAAGGGACATGTGTGTGGTGTCCCAGTGTGCCACCACACAGTGAGGGGACATGGCACTTGGTCATCCCTCAAGGAAGAGTGTCTGATTCATTGTTTCCACGTGACATAGTCTGTCTCCTCTTGCACCTGGTTTAAGGACCGGCTTATCACAACTGACCAATGAATAAGCTGAGAATCTAGCTATCTTCTAGAAAAATGGTGGCCTAGTTGTCAGAGTCCGGCTGGGCCTCCGTGGGAAGGGATGGCAGTGAGGCTGGGGCCGACTCACCAGTCAGCTTGACCACCACAGAGGCAGAGCCGGACAACAGGGTCTTGGTATTCTTAGCAATACAGGTGTATGTGCCCTCATGGGCTGGGGCCATACTGCTGATATTAAGGTGGTCCTGGCCATTCTTCAAGGCCCTCCCGTTGAAGGCCCAGATGTACTCTGGCTCCGGACAGGACCGAGATACACACCGCAGGGTGAGGGAGCTGTTGAAGTCAACTTTGATGGTGCATCCCGTACGTGTGGTGGAGTCTTGGAGGATGGCTACTCGTTCAGGGCCAACTGTGGGACAGGAGGGGAAGACACGTGGCAGTGCAGGGGTGAGAGGACAGAGGCAGGCACCTGGGGCCTTCTCTCTACTAAGTTGGGTTCCTAGGGCTGCTGGGGCTGAGCTAGGGGGAAGAAAGAACTTGAGCCTTTCTCAATTCCACCTCCAACTCTAACTTGTTCTGGAATCTTGAGACTCACTTCCCTTCCCAGAGGAACTCAGTTTTTTTCTTCTGGGAAGAAGACAGACAAACATAAAAGACAAACAAAAAAATATTGTTCTTGTAAGTAAAGATATGGGGGCGATGGCTCAGTGGGGAGGAAGGCTTTACAGTGCAAACATGAAGATCTGAGTTCAAATCCCAGCACCCACATAAAAAGCTGGGTGTGGTAGCACACACTTGTGATTACAGAACTGTTGGGAGTGGAGACCAGAGGATGACTGGAGGCTTGCCTAGCTCCAAGTTCAGTGCAGACTCTATCTCAAGGGAATAATGTGTCAAGTGAAAGAACAGAATATCCAACATCCCCCCTCTGGCCCCTGAACACATGCTGACAGAAATATGCTCTGTACACATATGTGGGCACACATTGCACTCACACATATACATGTGTGTACACATTTACACTGAGCTGATTTTTAACTTTTTTTCCCTGACAAGCACTTTTTTTTTTTTTCGGTCTTTTTGAGACAGGGACTCTCTGTAGCCCCCAGCTGTCCTGGAACTCACTATGCAGACCAGGCTGGCCTTGAACTCACAGAGATCCGCCTGCCTCTGCCTCCCAAGTGCTGGGACAAAAGGTGTGTGCCACCACGCCTGGTGACAAGCCCCTTCTAAGAGACTAGAATTTTAGGGCTTCAAGAACCCATGCATCTTGGTGCTAGGATTTGAAAGGCTCTACAAAGTTGTGTCTGAGATTCTAGACTCTAAGCATTAGAGCTGGATTCTAGGGTTCTTAACATCTTGAGAGTTTCTAGAATTCTGAGTCTACAATGCAGAGCTGCTGACACCTGGAACCTTCTGGTGGTAGGGTTCTAGGACCTCAACTCTTAGGCACTTCAGCGATTTACTTTCCCAGGATTCCACACTATGCACCTACTGACCCCTGTAAGAGCCTCGTGCCTCTGTAAGGAGCCCGTTTCTTTCTACCTTCCCATTTCTGCCTTCTTTCAAGGTCACTCATTCCGGTGTCTTTTCTTTTTTTCCCACAGGGTCTCAAGTAGCCCAGGCTGGCCTTAATTTTACTATGTACCTGAAGACAACTTTAAGCCTCGTGCTCCTCCTGCCTCTACCTCTCTAGTGCTGGGATTACAGGTGCATGCCAATATGATGTTTTTTGAGACAGGGTTTTATTATGTAGCACAGGCTGGCCCGGAACTTGCCATGTAGACCAGGATAGCTTTGAGCACATAGAGATCTACCGTCCTCTGCCTCCAGAGTCCTGGGATCAAAGGTATGTACCACCATACCTGGTTCATGCCTTTCTTTTGAGGACAAGGTCTTGCTACCTAGCCCAGGCTGACCTTGAACTTGTGATCCTCTGGCCTCTACCTCTTGGAGGTCCAGGGTGACAAGTGTGTGCTCCCTTACCTAGCTTCAGGGCTGCTGGTTTCTACCTGACATTGTGATCTGTCATCTGTACTTCATGAAGTAACGGGTCAAGTGTGTTTTATGAGAACTCTGGTTCCTTCCCCAGTCCCTCCGCTGACTTATTATGTGACACTGGACTCCCTCTCCTGGCCTCAGCTTCTTGATCTGTGAGGTATGGGTGCCAGGTGGCTTGGAAGACTCACAGTATACGGTCAAGTTCAGGGGCTCGCTTCTGCTGACGCTGACTGGGTTCCACACCTCACACTGGTAGGCACCTGCCTCCTCCCTTCGGACCCCATGCCGGGTCAGCGTCCGGCCATCAGGGGACAGACCCAGGCGGACAGCAATTGGCAGGACATCACCGTTGAAGAACCAGCGGACCTCTGCGGGGCTCGGGCTGCTGCACAGGAGACGCAGGGTGTCCCGACGCTCCACCAGTGCTGTGCCGTTGGCCATGACCGTGGGTGGAGCCAGGATCTCTGTGGGAGCAAGAGACAGAGGGGAAGGGGCCGGGCACCTCCTGTCCCTAGGCAAGAAGCACTAATCTGTTATGGGGGTGTCTCTGTACCCCTATAGTCAGACTGATAGAGAATAACTTTAGAAGACAGGTGTAGGTCAGGCATGGTGGCGCATGCCTTTGATCTCAGCACTTGGGAAGCAGAGACAGATGAATCTCTGTGAGACTGAGGTCAGCCTGGTCTACCTAGTGAGTTCCCGGTCAGCTGGGGCTACAGGGAGACCCTGTGTCAAAAGCGAAAACAAAACAAAACAAAATAAAAACACCCCTCCCCTCCAAAAGAAAGATGTGTGATCCTGGAAGCCAGAATAGAAGAGGTGAGCATTTTAGTATTATTATTGTATTATTATTAGTGTTAGTATTAGTATTGTAGACATTTTTCTCTGATTTTTTAGGGGCTGGAGAGATGACTCAGTAGTTAAGAACACTGGCTGCTCTTGCAGAGGACCCAGGTTTGGTTCCCAGCACCCACATGGTAGCTAACAACTGTCCATAACTTCAGTTCCAGGGGATCTGATGGGATCTGAAGCCCTCTTTTAACCTCCGCGGTCATTGTAGGACATGGGTGCACTTACACACATGCAGGTAATACACTCATACACATAAAATAAAAATAATAAATACAATAATTTTTTTTTTTGGTCTTTTTGAGACAGGGTCTCCCTGTAGCCCCAGCTGTCCTGGAACTCACTATGTAGACCAGGCTGTCCTTGAACTCACAGAGATCTGCCTGCGTCTGCCTCCCGAGTGCTGGGATTAAAGGCGGGCGCCACCACGCCCAGCTCAAACACAATAATTTTTTGAAGAAGTTTTTTTTAGGGGCCAGTGAGATGGCTCAGTGGGTAAAAGTGCTTGCCAAAAATCTTGTTGACCTTAGTTTGATCCCCAGTTCCACACGGTGGGAGGAGTGAACTGAGTCCCAAAAGCTGTCCTCTGACTTCCACACATGTGGTGGCTGTGGTGCATGAAGGCACACACACACACACACACACACACACACACACACACACACACAAAATAAAACCGGCTTTTTAGGTTTTTTTTTTTTTCTTTTGTTCCTCAAAAGAGAGTTTAGGGAAAAGGTAAAAATTCCCAGACAAGGTGGACAGGGGTCTTGGGGGTATCTCACCATAGACCTGCATGTGTCCGTAGCCCACCTCGGTCTGAAACTGCCTGTTGAGAGTCTGCAGGATGTAGGTGCCCGAGTGCCTGGGCAAAACGCCATGGATGTCCAGACTGCCATCAGGGCGCACAGCTTCCCGCCCTGTGTGGGCCGGGCCTGGGGTCTCATCGCCTGTGCTGACAATGTAGCTTACCACCAGGAAGGTCAGGCTGAGTGTGGGCCCTGCATACCAGTTGTAAGCAAGCAGGTCCCCTGAAAGCCCACGGACGACCAGTGTGGCGTTGTTCCCTTCTGCTGGCCTGGCAGGCTCCGGGGTGATGGAGATCTCGGCCCCAGTCCTCAGGATCCAGACTGAGAATGAATGGGGGTTGGATGGGGCAGATGTGACTTGTTACCCCATTTGACAGAGAAACTGACAAGGGTCAGTGGTGATGGCTCCAGTGTCCGTAAGGTCAAAAATATTTGTGTCTACCCACACTCCCCAAATATATTGGGGATGGGATCTAGGATTTCACCCATGCTAGACATGGCCCTGGCCCCTCACTGGGGGATTCTAGGCAGGTGCTCTACCACTGAGCCACACCCCAGCCCCTCACTGGGGGATTCTAGGCTGGTGCTCTGGTACAGACCTGTAGCTGTGTGACCTTCACCATCTAATTCACCTAATTTTGAGTAGGGGGTTGAGGCTGGCCTGGAATGTCTACCAATCCTACCAATCCTGCATAGTTCTGCTCAGTGCTGGTATTTATAGGCATGCACCACCAAGCCAAGCTCTGTCACCTGATCTTTCTTGGACGCTGTCTGCATGACTCTGAGTATAGTGCTTCTTTCTGGGTGCCCCTCTAGTTAGCCCTGTGGCAGAAGGAAATTGGACTGGCTGTGCCATGGATCTGGCCTGAGGCCTTGCACACAAACAAGTGCAGAGCCAGTGATTGCAGAGCAGAATGGAACCCAGGGGGTTTCATATAAGAGACACCATAGCTGAGCTACAAAGGGGCCCTTCTGCTGCAGCCGAGGGAGTCTATGACCTCACTACTGTCAGGGCCTCCTGACACCCAGGCCAGGGGCTGTCCCTCTATGTGCAGGTGCTACCATCAGAGAACAGGAATGTGGGGGATCCATTCTGCCTCCCTCCCTTCCTTCCTTCCTTCCTTCCTTCCTTCCTTCCTTCCTTCCTTCCTTCCTTCCTTCTTTCCTTCCTTTTTTCCTTCCCTCCCCCTTTTTTTTGGTCTTTTTGAGACAGGGTCTCCCTGTAGCCCCAGCTGGCCTAGAACTCTCTATGTAGACCAGGCTGGCTTCAAACTCAGAGAGATCAGCCTGCCTCTGCTGTCCAAGTGCTGGACTAAAGGCATGTACCACCACACCTGGCCCTTCCTTTTACTTCCTTTTCCTTCTTTCCTTCCTTTTTTCCTTCCCTCCCCCTTTTTTTCTCCCTCCCTCCCCCCTTTCTGCTCCCTCCCTCTCTCCCTCCCTCCCTGGCTTTCTTTCTTTCTTGGATCTCATGTAGCCCAGGCTGGCCTCACACTTGCCATATAGCCAAGAATGACCTTGAACTTGTGAGCCTCCAGCCTTTACCTCCTAAGTTCTGGGACTTTGGGCATGTAAACCACACCCAGTATATGAACTGCTGGAGAGCAAACCCAGGGCTCACAAACATTAGGCAAGCATTCTACCCACTCAGCTGCATCCCCAGCCCCCTCCCCTTTTTATTCAGCAAGCAAAGTCCCAACTGGTAGAGCTGCTCCCAGCTGCTTCTGCCTCAGTTTTGCAGTGGCTCTGTCATTTCTCATGTAACACAGACACACAGACTTGATCTGGTTTCCAGTCCTTTCTAAGTTGAGAGAATGTGGCTGGGGTGAAGAATTCTGGGGTCAGGGCCCAGCTCTGCCACTTTGTCCTGTAAGCCCCTGGCCAGCAATTTCACCTCTTTGAGTCTTGATTTTCCTGCCTTGGAAGTGGGCCCACAGTGGACCTCTCTCCTAGGATAGTTGCTAACACGTGGAAAAGGACTCTGAGTGGGTATATAATAGGTGCTAGTCAATGCTGCTTCTAAAGACCTTTGAATGACCCTGTCAGCTAGACCCATTTCATAGCTGAGTAAATTAAGGCTGAGAGTGAGGCAGCTGAAGCTAGATACAGTGGCAGCACTCAGGAGGCTGAGGCAGGAGGATTGTCTCAAGCTTGAGGCTAGCTTGGGTTACATGATGAGTGCCTGTCTTAAAAAACAATACAAAAGGTTTAGGGATTTAGCTCAGTTGGTAAATTGCTTTGGTTACTATGTACGAAACCCTGAGTTCCATTCCCAATACTACATAAACTGGGCATGATGACACAAGCCTGTCATCCCAGCACCGGGAGGAGAAGGCAGGAGGATCAGAAGTTCAAGGGCATCCTTGGCTACATAGCAAATTTGAGAACAGCCTGGGATACATGAGACCTTGTCTCAGAATAAACCAAAACAAAATCAAGACTCTGGTAGCCCTGACTCCAGTGACACAGTCCTCAGAATCCCTTGTTCTGGCTGTAGAACTCCCCAAAACCTACCCTCTGGGTGGCTGTCTCCAGCCTGCTCTACCCTGGAGCCTCTAAGAAGAGCAAACTGTGCCAGAGTGAGACAGAGCTGATCGCTCTATCGGACACACTGGATTTCTGGCTTACGCCTTCCCTCTCCCAAGCTGGTGGGTCTCTTTTCACCCCAAGGGCCTTGGGGGGCTGAGGAGCTGGGGGAGGGGGAAACCCTTCTCGCTCACCACCAAGGAAGAGCCAGCCGCCCCAGGTCAAGGCCATATTCTACCCCAGGCCAGTCTTGTAGATGGTGGTGGTGATGGCGTCCCAAATCACTCAGAGGCCCTTCCTGGTTGGAGCTTGGCTTGGTCTGCAGCTGGACCTGGGATGGTTCGGAGATTTGGAACCGGGGCGGATCACCGGAATTTGGAGGGATCGAGTCACTGAAGATCTGGGGCCCTGTTTGGGCACTAGAGGGGTGTGGCGGGTACAGGCCAGAGGCCATGACCTGGCCAGGCCTCTTGGGGCTGCTGCCTAACCCTCTTTGTGCCAAAGGCCCAGATTTGGTACTGGCAGGAGAACCAGGTCACTGAGGAGGAGGGTAGAGGAACAAGGGAAGATTTTGAAGCAGTTCTTACTGACCACCAGGCCTCTCGACTGCATGGTGGGGCGCTTGGGGGTAGGAAAGGATAGGACCGCCATTCCTCCAACCTGAGTGGAGGAGCAGTGGATGGCACAACTCTGTGGGGTAGGCATCTTTGAGACTCTCATTTGTTTGGGAGGTGGAGGCAGGAGGAGCAGGAGTTCAAGGTCATCCTCTGATAAAAAGTGAAAAAGAGACCAACCTGGGCTACATGAGCTCGTGTCTCAAAAAAGACTCATTTTTTTTTTTTTTGAGACAGGGTCTCATGTAGGCCTAGATTCAAACTCACTACGTAGCCCAAGATGACCTTGAACTTCTGATCCTCCTGCCTCCACCTTCTAAGTGCTGGGATGATAGGTGTGTGTCCCCCTGCCTGGTTTATGTAGTGCTGAAGATGGAACCCAAGACTTGTGAATGCCAGGCGAGTGCTCTACCCGCGGAGTCACATCCCCTACCTCTCTGTCTTTTCTTTTCCTCTCTCTCTTCTGTTCCTGCCATCCTTTCTCTCTTGTTTTTGTTGTGTATGTGTGAACATGATGTGTATGGGGGGGGTACACATGGCGGGGACACATGTAGAGGTCAGAGGACAACTTTGTGGGACTGGATCTTTCCCTCTACTTTTCTTTTTTTTTGTCTTTTTCAGATAGAGTCTCCCTTTGGCCCCAGCTGGCCTGGAACTCGCTATGTAGACCAGGCTGGCCTTGAACTCACAAAGATCCACCTGCTTCTGCCTCCCAAGTGCTGGGATTAAAGGTGTGTGCCACCAGGCCTGGCTTTTCCCTCTACTTTGACGTGAGTTCCAGATATTGCACTCAGATCATCAGGCTTTCGCAGCAATCACCTTTGCCCACTGACCATCTTGCTGGCCTTCCTTCCTTCCTTCCTTCCTTCCTTCCTTCCTTCCTTCCTTCCTTCCTTCCTCCCTCCCTCCTCCTCCTCCTCCTTCTTCCTTCCTTCCTCCCCCCTCCTTCCCTCCCTCCCTCCCTCCCTCCCTCCTTCCTTCCTTCCTTCCTTCCTTCC